GATCCGGAGAGCCTCCCTTCGCATTGCTCAGCCTCAATTTCCCCGCCAATAGAATGGGAAATCAATCATACATGGAATCTTATCTGCCCCCAAATTTAAAAGACTGAGGATCCAGGGGGATAATACACATTAACGGGTAGCACGAGGCAAAGCCGGCCAGTATTTTCAGAGGAAGGAGGTACTTGTCACCAGTTCTAGCCTTGATATGTAGCTGCCTGTCGGCTTCCTGAAACAAAACACTCAGGCCAAGAGGCTCCTTGGGGGCAGGTGGTTAATCCTCCTTCTGGTGTGGAGCCCTCGCTGCCCCAAGGGCTTCGGCCACCCCTTCCCTGGCTATTGTGCACGCACCACGCCCTGCCGATGACTGTCTCCACAAGTTCAACCGGAAGGCTCTTCTGAAGTTCATCCCAAGACCCAAACACCACCATCTGCCCCAGGTCTCCCTCCTTGGAGATTCGCTCCACCTCTCTCCTACGTGCACTCCCACAATTAGCTTACGAATGACAGAAACTCAAGCTGTGTCAAGCAAGTGAAAACCCTCTAGGGCACAGGGGTTGTATATTCCCACAGTAGGAAATTCCCACTGGAAACCTTGGCGGCCTAACTGTGGTCATTGCTGCTCTGGCGTCACCCCATTTCCCCTGAATTCTTTCCCCCAAGGAGTCAGCCTACAAATGGGGCTGGACTGGGAGGACTAGAAGAGAGGAGATCAGCACCTAAAGCCAAGATAAGGTAAGTGTAGGGCTCCCTAAGAGTTAGGCTCATGTCCCTCTCATATTCTGTTCTTCATAAGACGTGAAGTCAGACCAAGTGAGGCACTAGACACCCTCCTTTCCCTCCCCCAGATCTTTCCCCATAGCCTCCTACTTCCTATTCACTGTCTACACCAATCCCTCTCCCACCTGCCATATGTCCCAAAGCCCACATTCCAAGTGAAGTCTACCTGATTTTCCTTCAAGTTCTCCTTCCCCACAAGGAGCTCTTAGAGCTACAGCCTGCCCTGAAAGACACGTTCAGAGTCTTTTCCTAGTTACCCAGGGTCTGCAAAGAGGGATGGACTATAAAGACAGGTCTAGAATGGGGATTTAGGATTCATCAAACTTCCTTCTTTTACCTGGGAATTGTCCTCTCCCCCATTCCAAGGAAGCTTGGGCTGGCTTCAGGTGGAGGGGGCAGGAGTGTGACAGAAGGATCACAGATGGCCTGGACATTTGACCAGGTCCTGGGCAGACATTGCCCAGATATGCAACTCCAAACCCAGCATTCCAGATTTTAAATTCTGGAGTAAAGACATTTGGAGAGGGTGTGTTATAGAGGTAGAGGGCAGAAGAAGAAACCAGGAAGAGATGGCCTGGAGCTTAGGACTATCACCCCCCGTCACCCACCCACACACTTTTATTTTCATGCAGTCAGGGGATACAAAATCCAGGAGCACCAAGCAATGGCAGACCAGGTTCTTCTCCCCAACAGCAGGACTCTTTTTCCCTTCTGGAAGCTTAGGATGTCCACTGGAGGAGATCTGTGAGTATTTGGTGGCATAGCGACCCCCAAGCATGCAGCAAAAGTACCCAGGTCTTGTGTAGCCCCAGGCAGGCTTCTAGACCTTCTCTCAGGGTCTTAGAGAATCAGATTTCCATCTCTTCGCCCAGGGATAGGGAGGGGACCCCAATGTCTGATCACCCCCAGAACTCTCCTGCCCCATGGATCTAGGTGAGCCTTCTTTTGAATGTGTCCCATCTTCAGTTTTCCTGAGTGAGGGGCTGTATTGTTCTCATGGGGAAGGAAAAGTATGAAACTGTAGCCTCTGTCTCAAGATCAAGGACTTGGGTTCTGCATCTTCCCTCCAATAATTGCAGCCTCCTCCTCATTTGTGCATGCCGTGACCCCTTTTCAGAAGATCCCAGTACCACATTTTCCTAGCTCCTTCCTCCCCCTATAGAGTGCTGGACTGCAAGGGGGGCTTATTTTTTTAGAAGGAGATCTAGTGAAAACTCCCCAGGAACTAGCTCCTCCCAAACCCCCACTTGCCTTGGCAATAGGGGCCCAAACCCCAAGTCCCCACAACTCAACTCACAGTGCGTGGAGAGGAGAGTAGCTGGCAGCAGAGACCCCTGGGGGGTGGTGTCCATGCCCCTGACACTGTCCCCCTATGGGCCCTTTTGGAGAGTGGCAGCCGCAGACACTGCTTTCTCCTAAATGTAGCGGCAGCTCTGACTAGGACTTGCTATCTGTGTCATCCCCACTTCCCAGGCTCCCCTGCTCCTCTCTCGTTTCCACAGCAACCAGTCTGGCGACAGCTCCAGAGCATCCCCCTCCCTTCCTCAGTCCTGGGTACCACTAGGGACTGATCCACACGCCATAGCTATTTTTAGCCCAAGTCCCTCCTCTTGGACAGCTCAGAGCTCGCCTCCTCACCCCCTCATAGAGAAAGAAAAAAAAAAAAAAAAAAG